TAAACGTTATATTGTTCTCTGTCGAAAGAAAAGAGTTTTATTTTTTCTATAAAAAACAAGAGTTCAAGTGTACCGTTGAATAAAACTATATTCGCATTCCTTTTTCCCTTTTTTCCTCTCAAGTTTTAAGTGTTTCAACAAGTATATTAGAACATCAAAAATTATTTCGATATCAAGTTATCAACTTCTTGAATCTGGTTCTATTATCTAAAATCAACAATATCTTAGGAAAGATTAAATTATTATAAAAAGAAACTATTATCAACTTTACGTCTTAAAAAGCTAGAAAAATAGACTTCAATTAAAAATATAGATGAATTATTTATTTTTTCTTCTGAAAGGCTCCAGATTAAAAATTGACTTTAAGCCACTAATATTCTTGAGCTGCCTGGCGGTACAAAAGGTGAAAAACAAGCATTGAAGTCGAGTTCTTTTTCCCTAATAGCCGCAGATCAAACTTAATTTTTAAATACGCTCTAATATAGACGTGGCATGGTACATGCCGCCGGTAGAAAGTAGAAACCATATATATCAAAAGGACATGAGATGAAGACCTAAAATGTTTTCATACATGATCTTGTTTTGTTTTACTTGAGTTGTTACTATGAAGGACGAATACTTCAGTCCTGTACTTCTTCAGCCTTGTCTTTTGACAGAAGATACCAACCGAGAGCACCAACACCAGTTACTAGTCCAGCTACTACAGCATAGTTGCGATACCCCGAACGTTGAGGAGGTCTGTGCACTTGCAGTAGCATCAGTTACTGATCCTCACCCGCCAGAGCTTGTTGCAGCTTTGCTGGAAATGTTGACTATAGCACTCAAAAGTTTTATTGTTGACTAGTTGTACAGTACATCTCAAATGGTTACAAATAATTGAATTTTTTTTTAAAAAAGTTTAGGATCCATTTCTCTTTACAGGCCCCACTTCCCAGTTTCCTGGCATTTGCCCAAGTAAAAAAAAGTTTGAACGTACAAGAAGTAACATGCTATAATCTCTAACGCCATATCAAAGCTCAGTGGCAATTATATGTAGTTTGAGAACGCAATGAATTCAGTTTAATCCGTCCTGAATCTGGAGCTGAATTATTGACAAGCAGAGTATAGTTCCAACTTCCAAAGAATGTCTGCACAGCTTTCACTAGCCAACTTGAGGAAAGAAAATAAGACACTATTGAAACCTCACTTTCTCTTTTCATTGACATTTAATGTTCTTTCCTCAGAATCTCCTCTGTTTCTTGTACATTTTACATTTTACAGTGCATCCAGAAGTTCAAATTACTCAATACGGAAAATCCAATAATTATGTCGTCTTTTGCTTTCTGTTGGCCAAACGTAACCAGAGCACAAAGGCCTAATAGAAAGTCCTTTCTCAGAGTAACTTAAATACCTCAACAACTTTCCCTTCGCAACAACTCATAAAAACCAAACTGAAAACAAAAGAAAAGGATATGTTAGAACACTTAGCCAATCAATGTGCTACTATTTCAGCAGCCCACATTTGTATAACTATACAGATAAAATGAAGCTGGAAGGTGACAATTTAATATCCATTCAACTATATATGCTCTAGAATTTCAGAAAATGAGAAAGTTCATCAATACTACCTATCAAATGCAGGGTGGTTAGAAACTCAAGGATAAAATGAACAAAGCATTACGTGATGAAAAAGAACAGAGTTTGAAGATCTTGATCCATATATTTTGCTTTCCAAGCTTGATGTAGTCTAGTTCTTAAAAGGAACAGGAAAAAAAGTACTTGATTGTGAAATAGAGATTGGGTGTTTCTGACCATTCATGCTCTTCCTTGTGATTCCATGAATTGACTGGAGTTTGAGAACAACGAACAGAGGATTGAACAACTGCAACAATGACAATGTATCAACGGCCAAATCGAGCTAGTAGAAAAGCAAAGGAGGAAATCCTCAAAATAAAGTACCAAGTTATTCTGCATCATATTTTGAACAGCTAATATATGCATCAACTGAAACAAAAGAACTAATAAGAGATGTTATGCTGTCAAGTCTAACGAGTAAATTGGAAACTACTACCAGTATATATTTGTTATCTAACCTTGAAATCATTCCAAGTAGGATATGTTTCCTTGCCTTTCCAACTGTACTCGAACTTTTGCTTCTTCAAAGGAATGAAATCGAAGAACAGGAGTATAGGAATGAACAACCTGATATCCGAAAATCATAATTCATACATAATAAACTATACAGTGCTGATACTTTTAGTTGTTAAATTATTGGGAAGCAATTTTTATTTTTATTTTTGATAGATAAGAAACAAACTTTTTGTCGCGTATTGTTTTGATTCTATTAGAGCTTGGCATTCAAGAGTGGACATTTATGTGCTTGGTAAAAGATTACATAAATCTATCAACTTTCTGGAGTAAAAATAAGGATTGTATCTAGTTTATCGAAACTGGAAAAAGAGCAGCCATTCTGGGATTACATCACCTTCCTTATTATTCCAAGAAGCTAATCAAAATCTAAATCTGAAAAACACCCAATCTCAAAAACAATTGTCAATTTGGAAAATTTGAATCACGAGTCATAACAAGAGATTGAATAGCTTACACATTGTTACCAAACTCCTAACAAAGAAAGAAAAAAGATTGTTAAGTTGAGATCAGATGATCATACATAATCTATCTATATTATTATAAAAGCATGAATACAATGTCAGTTTACAAAAATAACCTTATAATAATAAAAGGGCACAACCGGAATTCTATATATTAACCTTCTAATCCTATTAGTTTACCTATGTGAATCGTAAAAGATTTGCAGTACATCAGTGTTATGTTATGCTATCAACTTCGAGAGCAAATTATCAATTCCTATCTATACTATGTTTCTTTTACAATGTCTCGCAGAAAGTATAAGGATTACTATAGTTGCAACATATCACCTTTCTATCATCTAACATTCACTCCGATCTGAAGATGCATCGCCTCACAGTGGAAATAGGTGCTCCACACTGCTCAATGCTATTTCCAAAAAGAAAACAAGAAGAATTAACAAACAAGCAAAGAGAAGTAACGAAAACAAAAAGTGAAAAAAAGGCCTATATAAGATGGTCTTGAAACATACTACAAATGTAAAAAAGACTAAGCTCTTGCCGATGTACCTTTGCATTGTACTACCAATCAGCATATCGGTAGGAGTAAAACATATATTCGTGCTCATCAAATACCAGATGACAAGTTTAATACCGACTCCAGGCTTAGGTGAATAGGTAAAAAAGAATGACTTGGCGCAAATCAAGTTGCATTAATTTTACAATACACAGAGCTTACTTTGTCACCCTCAGCTATAATAAAACCACAAGACCTATCGTAACAAGGACATAGTATCAGCACTGATAGTTAACAGCACAAGGTCATTGTTTTATGGACAAAATATCAAAAGAGAAGTAGTACTGTTAAATGCCACACAAAAGAGAAGTACTTTTCTTCACTTACACTTACTGATTCATTAGAGAGACTCCTCGCACAAATGGTTATCATTCATCAAACATTGCATTTGTTATCGGCTATGATATCTTGGAACATAAATCTGGAAGTGGTGCAATCAAGTGAAAATCTTTAAGAAGAAAAGTTTGTTAGAACAAATAATTGTTGTTAATCCACAGTAGAGAAAGAATTACTTGGAGCAAATCAAGTTTAATAAATGTGTAATAATGACCTAGTTTTGACAGTTAAGAGCAGTGGATGGACTTAAGAGAAATGACTAGCCCTTTTCACAGACTGATGAAAGAGAACTAATGCTGGCAAATTACACACAAAAAAGAAGTACATTTCTTTCTTTCACCAACTGATCAAGGAGATGATCATACATAATAACCTTAATACGGTGCTGATGCTTTAAGTTTTTTAAATTAGAAAGAAGCAAACTCCTTTTTTTTATTTGATAGATTGGAAACAAACATTCTGCCTCGTGTATCTTTGAGTTACGATAGAGCTCTGCATTTAAGGAGTGAAAAAAGGATTTTACACTTCCCAGTAGACAGATCAAAGCTCAAGAGTGAACATGGTCATTCCTCAACTCACTGGCTAAAGGAAAACGACAACCAAGAGGTTGTGAGTTCGAGTCACCCCAAGAGCAAGGTGGGGAGTTCTTGGAGGGAAGGATGCCGAGGGTCTATTGGAAACAGCCTCTCTACCCCAGGGTAGGGGTAAGGTCTGCGTACGCACTACCCTCCCCAGACCCCACTAGTGGGATTATACTGGGTTGTTGTTGTTGTTGTTGAAACATCAAGAAATACATGAACTAAAATTTTCAAGAAAAAATTGATTCATATTTGAAAAGGCAATGCACAGACATTTCTAGTTCATTAATATCATATTATGCTATAATCTTTATGGAGTAAATTATTTGAATCACGACCTATATGTGGTTTTCTCTTACAATGTTTTATCGCAGCTTTCTGTAGTTGCAACAGATCACCATTCACCCCAATTTGAAGATGCTTCCTCGGCTTCACAATGACAACAGACGCTCCACGCTGCTCAACAAGATTTAATAAAGGAAAAGAATTAACAAACAATCAAAGAGAGGTAACAACAAATAAAAACTATTGGAAAAAAAAGAATAACTTACATCTGTCAAAACACCATTTGTTTTAATCATCACAGGCATTCACAATCGATCACTATGTTGGGAATATGAGCAATATTTGGCCAGTATTCGCCCTTCTCAAATTCTAGACTTGGTTTGAGCAATGGGCAGTCAATAATAGACAGAAAAGAGATGGAAGAGGGCATCCCTTTTACTGGAAGAGATTGGAGATTAGGGCATGTAAGGATGATTAACTTAGAGAGGGAGGGGGGCAGCGCTGATTCTGGAAGAGATTGGAGATTACGGCAATCAATGATATGCAGCTCAAAGAGGGAGGAGGGCAGCATTAGAGATTGGAGATTAGGGCAACTGTAGATGAAAAGATTAGAGAGGGAGGAGGACAGCGCTGATTCTCGAAGCGATTGGAGAAAACTACAGCTACTAATATGTAGCTCAGAGAGGGAAGAGGGAAACGTTGATTCTGGAACATATTGGAGATTAGGGCAATTATCGATGCGTAGACGTTGAAGAGAAATGAGGCGCTGAAGACCGTCGGTCGGTAGGGAATGGAGCTCACCATGGTCAGATAATGTTAGCTTTAAAAGAGATGTGGGAAGCCCTTCTTCCAAGAGTGACTGAATTTGAGGTAAATTAGAAGTACATAGAGATTCAAGAGAGGTGAGGCTTTTGAGAACTTGGCTGCTAAATGTTTTCAAATTGTCTATGGTAAGACTTCGAATAGAGCAAGGCAACTCCCACATAATATCCCAGTTTTCAGAACCGTGATGGTAGATGTCTAAATATGTGAGAGAGGGGAGTCCCTGTAAATGCCACTCCTTTCGGCCATTCACCAGTTCACAGCAATCCCTGATCCCGAGGATTTCTAAATTGAAGGGCAATCCTCCTTCAGGAAAGGACTCTATTTCTGGACAATTTTTCAGGTACAGATCTCTAAGAGATGGAAAGAGCTCCTGCATATGTTCTGGCAGCGACTTCAGCTTCTCGCAGTTGCTAATAAACAAGTTACACAAGGGCGTCGTCTGAGCCACCGAAAGCATTTCAAGATTCTCACATTTATTGATTTTGAGATCTTCAGCCCCATTGGGAATAAAAAGTCTAGTAAGGCTTTGACAACTTTCTACTCTCAGATAGCGTGCACATGGGACCAGCTCAGGTGATACATCATCTATAGAATCACATTCTTCCAGTTCCAAACTTTCAAGAAACATGTTACTTCCTCTTGAAATCATCTTACCAATTGACGACTCCAATTTCAATTTCTCACAACGCTTTATCCTTATTTCTTTCAAGGTATTTGGCAGACTGCTAATAGGCAAGGAGGTAAGAGAGTGACAATCACTGATGTATAATTCAACTATCTGTTTCATTCCCTGAAGTTGAGACAAAAACAGTTCCGCATGATCAAAAAGAACTCCAACCTTAGGAGAACCTTCAACTTCAAACTTTTTTAGACTTGGAAATTTTACAGGTGTCTCCAGATTGAGTTTCGGACAATGTGAAATTGTCAATTTTGTCAGAGAACAAAGATTTTCAGGCAACTTTCCAATCAACTTGGGGCAATCTTCAATTGAAAGGTGTTGAAGTACAGGGAACTCCCCATTTCCTAGTACATGCCACTGCTCCCACGCCAACATCTCTGCAAAATCAAGCTTTTCAAGAGAGTTAAAAGGCTTTTTGGAGGACGAACCACCATAAAATTCTTCAGTCACCTCTATTATTCGATGCATCCCTCGAATTGCAAGGAATTTCAAAGAAGGAAGCTGGCCTAATGCTGGCAAGGAATAACAGTCCTTGCAATTACTTAGAGACAATTCCACCAGCTCAGAAAATGAATAATCAGCTAGCCAATTTGGAAAGTTTGTCCCTCTATATCCGTTGATCTCAAGTTCTTTTATGTTTGGATTTGGATGTACCTCACCAAGTATGTCTCTTTCATTTTGTGAACTGTCCGCAATACTTACACTCCACTCCAATAATAACTTCTCAATATGTTCCTTACCGCTCATGTTTGCTTTCAAAGCTTCCCTTCTATCCGCCACATTTTCCAACTGTTGAATTGATAGAGTTCCATACAAGTTGCATAGTTCACCCAAATCTTCCATTCTTGAACCACTTCGATCACCTACAAGAAATTTAGCTCCCAATAACACATGAAGGCTTTTCAACTTGGTCAAATGTAGCGGCATCATCAAGCGAGAACTGCCGCTAATGTCAAGGTGACGCAAGTTTATCAACTTCTCCATCTGCCGCGGTAACTCCTTAAGAAATTCACAAGATGACAAGAGAAGTATCTCCAAGTTATAGAGCACACAAATTGAATCCGGTAACTGTATTATCTGTGTCAAAGAAAGGTCCACCAATCTTAGGAGTTTTAATTTGATAAACAAGACATCTGGTAACTCCTTGATATTATAACGAGACAATGATAGTGCCCTTAAGGATGTTAATCTTGGCAATATGTTAAGCAACACCCTCTTGCTTAGAGAAGAACCATATAGCTCGATATTGTAGATTGGAAGCAATGTCCTGAGCTGCTCCAATTTGTAGAGAGGTTGCAACTTTTCAAAGTCACCATAGCCCATTGAATAGGACATGTGTCGACTTCGTTTCAACATATGAGACTCTTGGTACTCTTCCAACCTAACACAAAGTTTTGAAGATGCAACTTGGGCCAAATCATTGACAAGGTCATGCATTAAGAATTTCTCTGCATTATTTTTAGAAGACTCTGGGACCCTTTCGAAAAGTGACCTTGATTGCAACTCGAGAAAGAATAGGTTGCCTAAATCTTCAATTGTTTCATATTTTTGCAACCCCTGTACTAGACCATTGGCAATCCACAACTGAATGACTTGTTTTTTCCGAAATGGATAATCTTTCGGAAATATTGCACAGTAGGAAAAACATTGCTTTAAATGTGCAGGAAGATCATTGTAGCTCAACATCAATACTGGTAATATGCCATTGTCTGGCAGCTCCCATACTTCACTTCTCAAAATACGTTTCCACCCTTCAATCTCTGATTTGGAACGTAAAATGCCAGCAAGCGTCTTCAGAGCTAAAGGCAATCCTTTGCACTTAGCTACGATTTCTTTCCCAACTTCTACATGTTCTAGATGTTCCTTAGGATCCATGTTGTCAAATGCATGTCTTTTGAATAAAGACCAAGAGACATCACTAGACAAAGTATCCATGCTAATTTGCTCATTACCCATCGTCTTGGCAACACTTTTCTTACGTGTCGTCACAATGATCGTACTTCCTGCATTTCCTTGAACAAAAAGATTTTTCAAGTCCTCCCATGCATTATAGTTGTCATTCCAAACATCATCCAGAACAATAAGAAATTTTTTGCCCTTTAAGCTTTCCTTCAATTTGACTTGTAGCTGATTAAGATTGTTATCCATCTTTAAGTCAAATGAACCTATTTCTTGAAGTAACCCTTTTGTTATTCTGAAAGCATCATATGGTTCAGACACACAAAACCAAGCTTTCAAATCAAAATGGTATTTCACCTTCTCATCGTTGTAAACGGCTTTAGCAAGTGTTGTCTTGCCAATCCCAGCCATTCCAACAATAGGAATTACTGTCAAATTTTTGCCATTTACAGCAACAGATAGTAAACGGCCCACCAATTCCTCTATTTCATTCTGCCTGCCAAAGATATTAGAGTCATCAACCACAGAAGTTGAAAGTCTTCTAGTTTCTTGTTTATCTGAATCAAGATACTTTGTTAGATCAAGGCGACCGATTTGCTTTTCCAACTCCTCCAATGTTTCAATGGCGTCCTCCAACTTCTCCTTTATGTTAAGGAAAAATTCATCACTCAAGCACAAGTTGAGGTCACTTACTTGCTGGTTGCTTGTTTCTCCAAGATTTTGATACTGACCTTCCACCTTAACTCTCAGAACTTCATAATTGATTTCTTCCATTAAGTTTTCAGCACTGTCCACAGCATCTTGAAGCTCAATAAGCCACTGGCTCACGTATTGATTTGATGCCTTCTTATTCTCTGCATCACATAGAACAGCCTGAAGGCCAAGCAAGGTAATTCTCAGCTTCTTTAATAATCGAACATCATGTTTGTCCCTCTGAAACATCTTCAGCAGCTCGCCCTGAGGAGCAAGCCTATCAAAGAGAACATTCAAAGCTGAAGATAGAAATGCACCTCCAACTGCTAAGCCAATCTCCATTTCTGAAAGCTGCAAAGCAAATCACAAAATGATATAACAATTTGGAGAGGATCAATATTTCGATCTTAAAAATAGCCTTAGGTTTACCTGCTCAGAGAATAGTAGCCGCTTCCGTGCTATCTGTCTCTTGCTTTTGCTGAAAATAAAAGCAAAACTAACCTTTTTTTCTGAGAAATATTTTACCTTAAATCCATTGCAGAAGATCTTTAGAATTTGATCCGTACAAGCTACAATTTTGCATTGAAGTTACTCACAATCTACAATTAATTGATTTCCCATTTACTAGTTACATTCAAAGCAATACCATATCTAAGTTTGGTTAAGTGAAAGAATATAAAGTGGTTTAAACATTGTAGAAATGAATACGGTCAAGAATTGGTTTAAGTAGAAGAAACTTTAACTTTTGGGTTGGGGAAATTTTTGTTTTGGGTATTGTTTCAGACTTTCAGGTGGTAAAAAAACGAGAAGGAGAAGTTTGTGGTTTTCGTGGGACCCACAATTCACTTTAACTTTATTCTTATTTTATCTAATCTTTCCGTTGGTGCACATTCCACTAACGCACTTTTTCTTCTTTATTTATAACTTAGTGGCCGTTTGTACATAAGAATTAGATAAAATTTCGGAAAAATTGAATTTTTTTCGAAGCTAAGATGATACTTAAAAACTAGAGCTTTGGTTGAACATGAATATAATTTTGGGTTGTGTTTAAAATTTTATGAGTGAAAATTTTAAAATATATTGGAGTTCCAGCAAAGTATACCGGTCCAGCATAATATACTGGAAGTTCATAAACATGTGCTCGAATCTACAGTATATTATGCTGGAACTTTCCGCGTGTTGGAGTTCCAGCGTAATATGTTGGAAGTTTATACACGAGTGCACTGAACTCCAGTATATTATGCTGGATCGGTCTCTATCGTAGCAAAATAGTGACTATTTTTCAATGACTTAGCAAATACTGACTATTTTTGGATGATCAATTCGAAAACTGGCTAACCCGTATTATTTTAACATTATAATTGGGTGAGTCACCGAAAATAAAATTCTCTTTCATAATGGAGAATATTGTTTTAGAAAAACTTTCATATTGGAGAATATTGTTTCTACCGAATTGGGCCTACCATATCATGAAGTTTTTGTCTTTTTGTAGGCCTCCCTTCGTATTGGGCCTACCATATCTTGAATAATGTTTTAGAAAGTGTGCAGAGTTGATTCTACTGAATTATTGCTCTATGAATGATATCCTACCTTCTACATTCTTCAAAGGCCAAATACACCCTTAAACTTTCTGCCGAATTTAGTTTCTTATTACTCTCACGTCGATTTTAATTGATTTTTTAATAATTTTCACATATATTAATGGAGTTCACATTTTGGTATTAATTAACAATGAAAATGATGATGTTAACCTTAATTTGTTCATGCAATATAACAAATATTCCAAGGCTCCTTACTTTAAGGACAACCTTGAAGAAAAAAGGAGTTAATTCCTTTTTAGTATTTGAAAAAATCAAATATGGTAAACTACAAGAAAGATACCAAAAAAGCAACTAAAGTGGACCGGAGGAAATAATATTATTTTTTATGTTTAAGGTTTTGTAATTTTCTTACACTATACCTCTTGAAGTTGAAAACCTAAACATTGATAGGAAATTTTATTGGTGGGTTTAGTAGTTTTGGTATGCATATTGTTTGGGTGGAAAACAAGTTACCCCGCGATTTTCATCATTCAATATGGGTAAAAATAACACTACAATCTGCGAATAACTAATTTCGAAATTAGTTATATTGCACTTTTAACCTAATCAAATATAAAAAAAATTATCTTCAATTCTATCCCGAGATTAATTATCGATTCTCCATAATACGAAATGGGCCTCTAGTATCTTAAATAGACATTAATCTATCTTGAAATGGTCTCTACAAAGAGCTTTATTTTACATATTAATTGGATTGCAAGATAATATAAAGTGGTTTCCTAAAACACAAACCAACGACCATGAAAAAAAAAGGGACAAAGGAACCAACAAGAAATAGAACCTAAGACCTCGTACTATAAACACACTGGGTAATGTAAGAAAAATTATCCTTTTTTCCTCTTTTCAAAAAGTGTTATTCCTGCTTTTGACAAAGAAAAAGAAAAAAAACATTATAATGGAGTCATATTTCTTAATTATTCATTGAATAACTGAGGCAAGAGAAGAACGCTACTTGAGAGTATAGAAAGGGACAGGGTGGGGTGTAAGATTTTCCTACGTATATTGGTGGCTTAATAGGTTTAAGGACCATAATTAATATTTAATTAATGAGCAAATCTCATATGTCCGATCGGTTACTTGATAGACGTACCAGATTGAATAAAAAGAAGGAATAGTAATGTTGGTATGAAAATTGTCTGCCGCCTTGGGCTTAACGATATGATTAGTTAATATTAATTATTCACTGTTTTCTTTTGATTTAATGTGTGCTCTTTTTTAAACTTTATATTTCAACTTAGATATCTAAAAGGTTTCTTAAATTCTAGGTAGTTATGGTTTTAGCATGACAAATTAGATGGGTTTCTAGTGCAAGTATTGTTTCGATCCTTTTGAGTTGAATTGTAATTATCGTTGCTTTCTTGGGCCCTAAGTATGTGTTAGTTTGATATAAACACTGAAACTTAATTATGATGTTTCTTCCATTATTATGTTTTGGAACAATTTTGGACCATTAAAGCAATGAAATTACTTCCTGATACATATAAATTTCAATAGTTTCACGTAAATCACACGTAGCACATTGATTGTGATATGGTTCTTATATTATATTGTGCACTGCGTAATGTATATGCTTAAAGTTACATATAGTTTGTTAGTCACCAAAGTGATCAAACTATAGTGTTTCAAGTATTCACATGCATATACTCTTTTGATAACTATTTATGTGTGTACCTATGTTTATGTAGTTTGTTAGTCACCAAAGTGGCAAAAGCTAGTATGTCTATGAAAAACATGCATACATAAAAATATAATTTATCCATAAAATTAATAAAATGCCTATAATTGAAAATTAGTGGATAAATTAACTTTCACTATTGATAGAACTTAAGGATTCGCCCAAAACTGGATCAATTATTCTATAAATAGTGAATATGATGAGGTAAATCAATATTTTTTAGTCAAATATATATTTTCTGTCCAAAGATGTCGTATATGTTTGGTTACAAATATTTAATTACCTATTAAAGACTAAATGACATTTAAATTATGATAGTGTGTCATAGTATTTACCCAAAAGATAACTGCGATAGGCTTTAATTGTTTTACTGAATCTATATTTGATTTGTGAACATGTATTATCTATCTTGCAGCTATTCATCTTCATTCGCATGCTTCGTCTGTTACTGTGTTCAACGGATTGAACTTCTCTGATGGATCTTGACTTGGCTCTGCTGAATGATAAGCCTGCTGCCATTACTGATACCAGCAGTGCGGATGTGAAGTCTTTCTATAAAGCATGAGAACGTTCTAATAGGCTGAGCCTTATGTTTATGCAAATGAGAATTGCCAACAACATTAAGAGTGCTATTCCACAAACAGAAAGTATCGGGGAATACCCGAAGTATGTGGAAAAACATTTTCATTCTGCAGATAAGTCTCTCGTTGGTACATTAATAGCTGAACTCATGACCATGAAGTTTAATGGGTCGCGCAGTATACAAAATCATATCATCGAGATGACTAACATTGCAGCAAGACTTCAGACCTTTAGGATGAAAGTTGATGACTCCTTCTTGGTTCAGTTTATTCTGAACTCGTTGCCTCCTGAGTATGGACCTTTTCAAATTAACTATAACACTATTAAGGATAAGTGGAATGTTAGTGAATTTTCTAGTATGCTTACTCAAGAGGAGTCAAGACTTAAGAAACAAGGAAGTCATTCAATTAACCTCATCTGGTAAAGGACTTAAAGTGAAGGCCAACAAGTTCAAGAAGAATAAAGCACCTGCTAAAGCTCCAAGGGATGCTAACAAGGAACATAAGGCAGATACGTGTTGATACTGTAACAAGGAAGGACACTATCATAAAGATTGCCTGAAACGTAAAGCTTGATTTGAAAAGGAAGGTACAGTTAGTGCTTTTGTATATTTCGAATCAAATTTAGTAGAATTTCCTAATAATACTTGGTGGCTTGATTCTAATGCAATTGCTCATGTATCTACTACGTTGCATGGATTCCTACAAATCCAAATAAGGATTTCTTGTTCATGGGAAATTGTATGAAAGCTCCAATTGAAGGAATAAGGACTTATCGTTTGATCATGGAGACCGGACGTTACCTTGTTCTATTACAGACTCTTTATGTACTTTCAGTTTTTAGGAATTTGAACTCTCCTTCCAAACTTGATATTTCTGGATTTGATTTTGTCACGACCCTAAACCGGATCCGATCGTGATGGCGCCTCTCGTGAAGACAAGGCCAGCCGACACTTTTCCATTTCAGTTTTAGGCAATTAAACAATAATAATTAAGTCTAAAACGTAATAAATAATCCCAAAGTAAGCAGTGAATAGTACAATGCGTAAGTAAAACCAACATAGCCCGATACCAGGGTGTCACTAGTCATGAGCATCTACAATCCGGATGATACAAGAAGGGTCTACAGAGTCTATTACAAATCTAAAACAGAGGAAGATAAGATAAAAGAAGAAGCTTTGGGCTGTGAACGCCCGCAACTACCTAGAGAATCTTCGAATCCACCTGAGATGGAAAGATCAACACTCACTAGCGGGACCTGATGCGCCTGAATCTGCACACGGGGTGCAGGAAGTAAAGTGAGTACTCCAACTCAGTGAGTAATAATCATAAATAAAGATTGAAAGCAAGAAACCACGTAAGGCACATTATAGACTATAAGGAAGCAGTAAAAGCCGGTAAATAGTGAAGCAGTAACGATGTGCAAAATTACTGAGTTCCGTTTAAAACTTCATAAAAATGCCTTTTTAACAATTAAGCAAGCAAATGACACGCAGATAGGAAAGATAAACACATAAAGGATCGCCCCTCGGGCTATCTCTCACATCACAATGGGTATCCGCGCTCACTGGGGGTGTGCAGACTCCTAGAGGGGCCCCTTTCGGCCCAAGTGCAATATCAAGTCATCTCGTGGCATCATCACTAGGCCCTCGGCCTCATATCAACAAGCCACCCCGTGGCGTACAAATCTTAGGCCCTCGACCTCATAATCATAATCAGCGTTCCTCACAACATAAGCCCTCGGCCTTACTCAGTCAGAATCTCACAGCCACTCAGGCAACAGTAAAATATAGTGCTCAGCCCAAAATATCATTTAAGTGTTAAAGCAGAATAAACATGGCTGAGTTATGAAAAGCAGTAAAATGTAGCAGGACTGAGTTCAAGTATAAAGTCAAAATAGTGAGGAAATATCAATAAAAATTCCCAAAGGGTTCAA